GGCTCCTGGCCTCGCTACTAGGAGCAAGGACGCTACTAGGGGCTCCTGGCATCGCAACAAGGGACTACCAAAAGGTTCCGAGCGAATGGAACTTACATTTTCACCGTGATCGATCAGTGGGAGCGACTGTCGCAACCAAGGACCGAATGGATTGTCCCAAATGGTCAGTGCCGAACAAGAAGTGTGGAAAGAGATTGGTTCATCTTGCAACGACTCACAATCCAATGCTGAGAAGCTTCCAAAAGCCCAGAGGCTCAGACATCCAAGCATGAAGGCAGTGCAGGTGAGCGTTTCCATCCACAGAGGCCACTGCATAGAGCATCGAAGCTTGGCACAGGACGCACCTGACACGACAGGTGTGGGCAGGTTGGGACCTTCCGCTTGATTCAAAATGAACAACATTGAACAACTGTCAACATGTTTGCTTCTCAAAGCCAAGTGATTGAAGATGTTGAAGAGTGATTTGGAGGGGTTATTTGATGTTATTTGGCTTCCTCCATTCTTCAAGGGGAAAATTGGTGATGGGTTCTCAGTTGCCTATGTTGAACTTGCCCATATTATCTTCCTTGCTCGGAAATTTGTCGTGGAAACCATCACGTTGTCACTGACACTTGCGAATCTTATCAGATTCGTCAAAGAATGACTTGAATTTGACATTGCCATTCATTCGCCTGGACAGATATTGTTGCCTGGTCGGCATGAGCGTGACAAGAGTCGCTCTTGTGGGCAGGCTTTGCTACGAGGGGCAATCTGTGCGGCAGGTCCCTTTTTCGACACATCTGAACTTAAGGGATTTGCGGTATTGCTCATGGAGGGTGGAGGCAGAACACTCCAGACCTTGCGCTTTGCTCTCGATGCTTGTGGTGCTTCTTTTGCGCCGTGCTTTGTTGCGGACGGTATATATTTATATAAATGCGTATCTTCTTTACCTCTCTTTTTGACTACCCGACCAGACTGTTGGTAGTGAGGCTGTCAATGAATGTGGCTGGAGAAATAGAACATGATAGAACAAATGTCAACAAATAGAGGCTTGGAAAGTATCAATCCCTCCTTGCCTGCACCAAGGAAGACAAAGAAGGTCACTGGGCATGCTGGAAGGCGTACACACAGGCGGACCAGCTTGCTCCACGGCTCCTGCTCCAATTCGAAGAACCCTGCTGATTTCTACTGAAGTCTTACCTCGAAGACTCTACTCTAAATGTCTCCCGCATCACAACAAGCTCAACGGAAATCCAAATCCTGGATTGATAGGTACATGCAGCAAAGTGCAACCGCGGCAACATCCCCCATGATCAATACTTGCAATCCAAGCTTGGCAACGTTTCGCGCTGCAGGAGCAAATGCGCTGCATCTCACTTCCAGAAGTGCAAGTAGCAAAGAGCATGCCGGAGCAACGATCACCAGGGTCACTTCCAAGCATGCGAAGAAGGGACTTTGTGAGAGTAGACTTTGAAACAGCTCCCAAAAGGTGGGATCCTGTCGATAAACAATGAAGCCAGCAGCGCGCGCTTGCAAGGACAAAGGTGCAAACGGAACCAAAAGCACGAAGGTGGTGCAAACCAGCCATAGACCTCCAAAGAGAATGAGACTCCTATCATCACTAGGAGGAACTGCCTCCGGCAAGTTCCTGGGAGTACTTCGAACAGAGAGCTCGCGGACACTAAAAGCGTCATGTACTTCCAAATCATTGATCTCAACCTGCAGCATCTGGGCCATGATAATGGAACTGACACAGTAAATGAAGAAACTTGTAAAACCCTGGCAAAGTTGGCATTTGTAGACACCACTCTGCGATGACATCCCAATATTCAGGTACGAGAGCATAAACATCACCAGAAAGACATCGCACATCTGGTAGGGCGACACAACATTGAGGCATTGGCAAAAGACAGAGAGCTGTGGCTTTGACAGCTGCTTGGGCTTCAAGAGCAATATCAGCGTCATCCCAAATTTCAGTATCGGAAGGAGGATGGCGAAGAGAATCACCTTGCATCGTGAGCACATTTCAAGCGGTATCTGCCATTCACGCTCAAGGACGAATGAAGGTGTCCTACAACTTTCAGAAGGCAACAGCCCAAGTGCTGCGTCAGCAAGGTTCATTCTGCAAAACAAGTTTGGGGGGGATGATGACATAGACTACATAGCCACTTGCCCACAAACGTGTGAATCGCGTCAAAGTAGCTGCGCCAGATGCTGTTGGCATGCCCTGCTGGTACCTTGGCAGGCTCGAGATGGGTCACTGGGTGACTGGCGTGGAACAAGAAAATGCAGATTGAAAACACATGTACCTCAAGAGTTTGTTTCTTGGTAAGGTTCTCAATGGCACGCGTGCACAATCTGTCCTTCAATCTCCATGCAGCACATTTCTCCAGAAGAAGTTGTAGGCAAAACACAGAATGACTGATAACATTTTCCAGGAAAACACCTCAATCCACCCATCAACCACCAGTGCAAGCTCTGTCCAAAAGCCCAAGCTGTCCAGCGGCAAGAAGCTTATCAGCTCCAGATTGGATCTTTGCACTGGCGGCTCACGATTGCCGCTGTAAAATGGAGGATCCACGATGAAGAGGGCCTACGAACTGAGCAGGAGCGCTGGGTCATCACAGTGGTCACCATGGTCAAAAGGTTGTCGGGCCAGTCTGGGGAGCTGGATGGACAGTTGACATAGACATTATGTTAATGGATACACACTCAGAAGGTCCATTTCAACAAGTTTGAAGTCATGTGCACAGCGGATCCAATGCTAATGTCTTCCGCTAGCTTGCTCTGTTCCGATGGCCATCTGAAAGCGGCGTTTGAAATGCCTTCCGATCCTGCCCGTCCAGCACATCTACCACGCGCCACCTGAGTGAGCCCAAAGACATAGCATACCGCGCAGATCCCCAACATGGCCAGTTTTGAGACTTGCCAAGCCAGGTTGAACTCCTCAGCTGTGTGTTTTGCAGCACAACCAGAACGATGTCAGTGGCAGTCAATGACGGTGAGAACATGAATCATGTGGTATCCGTTTGATTGATCAATGTTACAACGCCATACAACGGCTATGACGATTGGAACTGTCCTCCTCCTGCTGAGTGCTGCAGCTGCGCTGCGACACCTGAAGTGTTTTGGAGGTCATTCTGAGAACACTGGCAATTCAGGCAACTCCAAAAATCTATGTTAACTTGAAGTTGTTTGCTTCAATCGAGTGAACACCCTCCACCATTTATGTCAGGTTGAAACAAATCTTGCAGCTCTATATTACATTCTGTAACTATATAACATTATAAAGCCAAGGGAGCGGCCAAACTCTATTGGTATTGACAGAAGCACTGTTGCGATGGTGTCCCAAAATGTTGGCATATGATATCTTTTGATGTGCTACCAAAAACTGTGGTAGGATCACTAAGCCATCCACTCACCAGAAACATCGGAAGGTTTGTCCCTTCTGCCAATCATGTGTTTTAGCCCGCGGCCTTGCCTCATTACTTGATTAAGTAGGCGCCTACTGAATTAAGTAAGGGACTGAGTTCCTATATATATATATATATGTGTCATCACTTCGCTCCTTTTTGGGCGTGTGTCGTCCACCAGGTGCTCAACCTCCTCGGGTGGGAGGGGGACAGGTAGCTTTCTAGAGACCCCCTCCTGCTTGCGCCTCTTGGACTTGGACTCCTTCACCTTCACCTCCCTCACGTTTCCGCTGTTTCCGCTCTCCACGAGGAGGACCTTGTAGTTGACCTTCGGGATGATCGTGCCCATGTTCATGTCCCCCACATGGATCCTTGGTGCCTCCAGGACGGTTCTGTCAGCCTCCCGGTTGATCTCCTCCATCAGGTTTTGGTGGCGGTTTTGGTTTTGGGTGCCCGTCTGAGCCCTTTGACCCCCTCTTTAGAAGGGCTTGAAGTAGATGATGAGCCAGCCAAGAATCCATCGCTGATGGGTATAGGCGGCCGCCGCCGCGGTGGCAAACTCCCCCTGTGAAGTCTTGCGGATGCCCAGGGAGAGGTCCTTGGTAGCGTGAGTCTGAGGAAAAAACCGGCAGACCCTTGAAAGTATCAGCGATGAGACTGGCGATATCGGTATAAGCACCCTAGTCGGCTTCGGTGAAGATGCGCCGAACTCGCATTGATAGAATGCACCGGTAAGGGCCCGGCCTTGCCTGACCCAACTCTGGATGGGCAACGGCTGCCAAATCGAAGCGGGCTTGATGTTCTCCCCCCATCGCGATGCGTTGCCCAAGTCCTCCGGATGCTCCATGATGAAGGGGATTTAACTCCAATGCTATGGTGATGACCTGTAGGCAAAGTTCCACCATCGAATTGCTTGCGTTGACTTTATCCAGCTTGGCCCCCTTGAGCCAAGGAAAACCCCACGGGCGCATAGCGGCCGCGGCCCGTGGTCATTTGCCCATGGTGCCCTCGACCAAGTCCCACAGTGCGGGGACATGATGATTGCATCATATCCACCTTCACGAAGAGTCGCCAGAATCTTCTGGCGCAGTGCATCTTGCAAAAGATCATGCTGTGGATCTCTAAGGATATCGAATTCGTCTGCCACGATAGTCACTTGCCTCTTGGAGGCGAGCTTTTGTAGGCGCTTCACCAGGCCTGTGTCACGTTCGCGACCGGCGAAAAGGTAGAGCACCCGGTATACCGCTCCTTCGGCTTCTCTTGCTGCGGGGCTCCAGCCCCTTCGCGTCCGGGTGGTCGAACATGGGATGCCCCGGATCGAGGCAAACCCTGCACACGTGCACCCGTCCGCACCCGCCTTGACACCCCTCCTGCTTGTTGTTGTAGGCGAAGCAAATCTGCCTTCCATCGGGTGTGGACCCGTGTAAACCTGCACCTTTTGCCTTGCCCTTTCCTCGATCACCTTTCTTGCTCTTGCCTTTTCCTTTTGCGGTCCTCCCTTTCGAGTAGGGAGAGTCTGCATGATGTGGGCGATCTGGTGCTCTGCCACGTGCTCCCCATCCGTCCTTCAAGCTCTGCGCAGCCGAGCTCACTGCCAAGGGGGTGCTGAAGTACCTCTCTCTGATGTCCGGGTTCTTGACAATGTCCTTGAGGGCGGTCACGAACGGGGTGCCCCTGTTCACCTCCTCCATGGCCTCCTTGCGCATTTGGAACTCATAGTTGATGATCAGCTTCAGCGACGGCCTGTGCAATGGGACGCCGTCCACATTCTGCGCCTCCAGCTGGGACACGTGCTTGGAGCAGATGTAGTTCCGGTACTCGATGGCCACAAATGGGGAGATGTCGTCCAAGACTCCTCTGTGAGGATACCTAAATCTGGCGAAGATGAAATGGTTGACCATCAACATGACCTTCGTCCTGAACTCCTCCATGTTGTTTGGGTTGTTGGTCTCAACCCTTGCCTTCTTGATCTTGACCTGCCCCGACTTCGCCATCAGCAAATTGCCAGTCTCCGCCTCATCGTCCTCATTGCGCGAGCCGAAATGCCGAAGCGACATAGCCCTGAACTCTCCTTGATCCAGCTGCTCGCACAAATCCTCGAAGCTAGGCTTTCCAGGGCATTCACCATCTTTGAGCTTGTAGTACCTCTTCTCGAACTCCTTCCGGTAGAGCTGGAGGTCCACCGGCGGAATGATCTTCGCCGCCTTCTGCAAGGTCGCCTCTGCGTCCATCTCGTCCTGGACTGCAATCCTCTTCCCTGCCGACTGCCATGCCAGATAGAGCGCGGCCAAGCGAATCGCATCCTTCGGCCTCACGTCCACATCCACCCCCAGCGCGTCCTTGGCCAAGTCAGCCAGTGTCTTCCTGTCCACGGCTATGGCAGCCATCAGGGTCATGGAGACCTGCCTGCATGGTCTTGTCCACGGCCCTTGCCTCCAGCAAGCCTTGGAGATCAGGGTTGAGGTTCCCGATCTTCTCGTCCTCCGTCCCAAGAGCCTTCCTGACTCTGGCCTCCGGCCTGACCCCTTCCCAGGTCTATTTGAGCCAGGCACCGGCAATGAAGTCCGCACGATGCGAACGATCGAACGTCCGCGACGCGCGAACCCAACCACCAACCGGTGCCCCTCATTGGGCCCGCCCTGAGTTCCCAGGTGCCTCCCTTTTTCACCTCCCTTCCTTCAAGATCAGGCCTCGCTTTCGGAAGCCTCCATCACCGAAGAGGATGATTCCGATGAGGGGTCGTCGTGCTTGCCCTCACCTTGCAAAAGGATCTCAGCCATCTTGGCCTTCACACCAAAACACACGCCACAGAGCTTCTCACCCTCCTCTGCTCTGATCTCCGGACGCTCCTGCCCAACCACCACGTAGTTATGGTAGTGAACTCTCGGGATCCTGAAGCACTCTCCAATCCGGTGCAAGGTGCGCCTGCGTGGCCTTCCCACCACCGACAGGACATAGGTCCCCTTCGGGTACAGGCTCTCTGGCTTGTGGTCGGGCTCCTCCTCCGCGTCGCTGATGACCTCAGTAGGCGATGCAGGCCTCGACGTTGGCGTCGCCGGTGGCGTGCTTTCCACCCTCTCTGCACCAGGCCCAGGCTTCAGCACCAAGCCACCTGACTCACGTCCCGGCCACATGGGTGGCGTCAAGGGCATAGCCATGCTCGTGGCCTCCTCCAACGTCTTGTCGAAGTTCTCTTGAAGCCACCTGATGTAGTTGTTGATCACCGACTTGTCGTCCAGGACATCCGAGGTCTTGTGGTTGCCCTTGGTCTTGTGCGCCACTCCCCCCTGCGCTGCCAGCACCACCTTCTTCGTCGTGACCGCGTACTCCTCATCCACGCTCGGGCTCCATCTTCCCCATCGACGCCTGACCTCCTTCGGCACCTCAGCAATCAGCGCCCAGGACATCGTTGTCACCCGTTCCGAACGCTCTGACCAATAGCCAGTGCCCTCCGCGGTCATCAACAACCTCCGTCTCCCATCCCTCGAAGTCAAACTCGAGGGCAACTCCGACAGCAAGGCTCTCGAGTATGCCATGGCGTCCGGATACCTCATCATCGCCCCAGCGAAACCGTGGAGGTTCTCACTAGGCCTTGCCATCAGGAAGTCCCTGCTCTCCGACTTGCCGTCCTTATTCATGGTGACGAAGAGCCCGTAGCCGACTCTCAGCCACTCCTTCTCGAAGACCCAGGCGTTCACTGAGATGTGGAACTGGACCACTTCCACTCGCCTTCCGGCACCCGTAGTTTTGCTCCTCGTGATATCTCCTTGAAGTCCGACTCCAACCTCCCACATCAGCGTAGCTGGGGGGGACCCCCTCTGTGTCATGTGCACGGAGGGCCCCCCACAGCTTGAGGAGCTTAAACCAGCAGAATACCCTCTTGTACTTCTGCAAGGAGGTGTTCATGACTCCTTCTTCCCATGCCCGCAGAACCTCCAGCGGGAAGCGAGATGCTTTCTGCCTTGCCCTAGGCCCAGCAAATAGTGATGCAATGCCATAGATGTCGACAACCTCCTTTCCTGCGGCAGTTCCGCTGCATTCTCCATAAACACCAGGGCCTTGAACAAGGACCCTGGTACGCTGCGGCCGCAAGGTTCTTCAAGTCGGGCGTTGATGTACATCATCAAGTCCTTTGGATGGCGTAGCCATTGAACTCCATACACGCCCTCCATGTACTCTTGGATCCGTCTGGCGTGCCTGACATGTTGACGAATCGTGGACGCACGTCGGCCCATAGCATGCCCATAGCATACCGAGTTGCTACGTACTTCATCGCCTCGAACTCCTTGTCTGGCTTGCCAAGGTAGCCGGCCTCATACAAGAGCTCATGTAGCTCCTTCACCCACCGTTCACGTTCTCCCTGCTCGATCTTCTCCCTCTGGTTGTCCCCAACGACCTTGGCGGAGAGCCTCTGCAACCTTGTAGTCCACGTAGCCTTCGGCATCAACCGTCGGGCCATCTCCCGTCACCTGCGCCTCTCCCTGCGGGGTCTTGGCCAACTGGCGGTCCACATACCTCTTGTCCCTGAACAGCAATCGCTGGTGCGTCAGGAACACATTGTCTTCTAAGTCCAGCCGCCGCCTCTGGCGTTTGGCCTCACGGTAGAGCTCCGTGTAATCCTCCTCCTTCCATCGATCGGCCAAACCTGGCAACAAGCCCCGCACTTCCCGTTTCGGCATGCTGTCGAAGAAGGCGAGGCTTTGGGCTTCCCATCCCTTTCCGAGAAGCGTGCCCACTACGCCCGTTGCAGGCATAGCGGGAAACCCGGCCCCACCTCCTTGTTGAGCCCTGTGCTACGTTCCAGGCACATATCGTCATGCATGCTTGACTAAATATAGCTACTTAATTAAGCTACTGCTACTACCTAGGACGCAGGATAGCTCACGCTCGAAGTAATGATTTGGTTTCTAGATTTTTAGGGAAACTTAACGACCGTTCTGCCAATCAAGCCAGTGGTTTTCACCGCCGTCCTCTTCAGGGTCTGCGCATGGCAAGCTGACATAGGAGGCTGCACCGCCCATGTCACCACCATGATGTGCGTGTCACAAGGCCGCCAAGGCCAAGGGTTCACCATGCGTGAGTCCAAGCCCTGTGTCCTGCAATTATTAATGTGAGTTGTACAGGTTGATACATTGTTGAGCGTTCTACAACCTCACTGAACAGTGCGTTAACTCATACATTGGCATGTGTTGGCTTGGTTGTTGAGGCGTGGCCCAACACGGACACGTTGAACCTGTAATGTGAAACATTTGAACTCATCGGGGTTGCTTGCGTGGTCTTGCCACGACGCCTTTATCTATGCTGCAGGGTTGGATGAAGCCACCCTGTCTGAGGTTTGTGTACATACTTGGCACGCCGATCATTCCAAATCGGATTTCAGCCAAAATGGCGTAAAGAAAGAGCCATGTGCAACATCCAAATCCGCGGCAACGGCCGAATCCGCAGAAGATCGCTCCGCGCCTGGAACGCTCCTCGAAAGCGCTGATCAAACTAGACAAACTTGGCAAACTCGTAGTCACTGTGTACTGATTGAGTCTACTTCTGGCTGCACAAGTCAAATTACGGACTACATCATGACTCCACAAATCTTGGCTTTGGAGACGCACAAGAACGCGTCTTCAAGAAAGCTCCTGGGTTTCCTGACGAAGAATCCCTCACGTGATTGATTTGGTTTTCGAGATATTTGCGACCACAGGACACAGGGCACTTGAATCCGTTGTCGCACGTGAAGCGCGTGACACGCGTCTCTTCCTGCAAGTCTTGCAGTCGTTCTTTGGCAGCTGCGACCAATTCATGCTCCACTTGGTTGGCAATGCCACCGTTGATGGCTGCTTCCAGTGCCTGCCAGAGGTTCTGAGTGGCGAGACAAGTCCAAGACTAGCAAGCTTCCGTGGAGTATCGGATTCAATGTCGCTGCGAAGCGGAGCTTCTTGCTTGTTTACCCCTGTACGGTCAATCCCCTTTGCCCGCCCTTCCCCACCTCCACATCGTCTCCTTC